GTTTAGTCTGGAGAAGAGGAGGCTGAGGGGAGACCTCATCACCCTCTACAGCTCCCTGAAAGGAGGGTGCAGAGAGCTGGGGATGAGTCTCTTTAACCAAACAACAAGCGATAGGACAAGAGGGAATGGCCTCAAATTGTGCCAGGGAAGGTTTAGACTGGATATCAGGATGCATTTCTTTCCAGAACAGGTAGTTAGGCGTTGGAATGTGCTGCCCAGGGAGGTGGTGGAGTCCCCATCCCTGGAGGTGTTTAAGAGTCGGGTCGACATAGCGCTGAGGAATATGGTGTAGTTGGGAACTGTCAGTGTTAGGTTAACGGTTGGACTGGATGATCAAGGTCCTTTCAACCTAGATGATTCTGTGATTCTGTGAATGCTAAGCAGCAATAAATACCTCTGCAGTGCAGGAATGCACATTAACCTGGCTCTGGATTGCCACAGTTCTCCCCTCTGCAGGGCAGGCAGCTATTAAAAGTTTGCTGCTTGTTATCCCCTTTTTCTCTCTCGGATGTGGTGTAGCGAAGCAAAGCATGCTGATACGTTGCCCAGATATGGTGCCTACAGACGTCCTAACAAATAAACAGTCTTTCAGGACTTGGTTACGAGCACATTAGTACAAAAAGAGTTTTTGGGAATGTCTCTCAGGCTGGCGGCTCTTCAGGGTGCAGTTCTTTTCCTTCACCACCTCCCTCCCCATCCTGATAATCACTGTGCAAGAGAGATGCAGTTTGTCACCCTGTGATGCTAGAAAATAATGAATACCATCAGGAATTCTGCTTGTCTTCCATAAAAATCTCATAACTGAGAGCTATTTTATAAACCCCTGTCAGTTTTGTGCCTAGATTTCTTATAAAACTACACCCATCAGCCATCATTTCTCCACTTGGGCTCATAATTCCTTCTCTCCACATTCTTTTAAACAGCCACCTCATCTCACATCACTCTTTGCATAAACTGAGGTTGACTGATATCTGGATAGTATCATCCACTACTTTCCTGATTAGTTAAACACACAGCAAAGGGTTTCAAGTTCATTCTTTAGTGTTACTGTCTTGGCTCATTCTCATAGGGTAGAGAAAAAATAAAAGCCTTTTTTCTGGCTGCTATTGCAGGTTAAGCTTTCCTGCACAAAACCAATAAATGTGCTTGTGTTTCCCTGAGTACTGAACTTACCTGCAAAAGGATCCTATTCCCATCATGGTCTTCTGTCTGCCACCTGCCTTCACTGATGGGGCTGCAAGGGTTGGGCAAGAGAGGCACAAGCTTCCCCACATCTTTTACTCTGAACTCCAGCACTGCTGAATCTGTTGGCATTGGCACCTGGCCCTTTGGAAGTTTTTTTAAAGAAAACTGAATGTCTATTTCCATGTTAGAATAGATGGGAAAAACACAAAAGTCTGCTTTTTTCTGACATACCGGTCTTTTCAGTATTAACTCGTACAATTTCAAAATGTCAACAAAGTTTTCACTCCTGCAGTATATAGTGAAGCGGATAATTTCTTTCCCATAGTGCACTGGGCGAATGGCCCACAGAGGAGTCTCTGGAGCCAAAGTGTAAAAGTCCTGGCTGCATGGCATGTAAGGGAGGAACTTCCCATGCACTCGCTCTGTGTGGTGGTAATGCCAAGGCGGTTGCTGAAAGGTTTTGTGGAGCTGCAAGATCGGCTCTTCTCCATATTCCTCCTGCAGAAACAGAATGATGGCAAGGGCTGGCTGAGAAACACCAGCCTTACCTGGCTTCCTGTGCTTCTTGGGTGCTCGTCTTTCTGAGACTCGAAACAGCTGGAGGTCTGGATGGATCCAGGCTAGAAGCTTATCAATGGCTTGCTGAAGAGTCTTGGATTCACCTGGGTCTGTGATAATATGTACACTAACAAGGAATGGATCTTGTATGCCTTCCAGAGAAAGTTCACCTGAGAGCATAAAAAGAAAAATAACCTTTAAGATTTGTAACCAAGTTGTCAACATTTAGGTGATCCCTAAAGGAGAAACAGTCTACTCAGTCACACTAGGCTTTTTTTTCATCTCTCAAGCTCACCGTACAGAGTATGTACATGTATGTTACAGAATAATGTACAGAGATATAGCAACCAAGAAAATAATCAGAAGACAGAGATTTTTATCAAGTATATTGTAAACATTATTGTTTCTACTGAAGTAACATCCAAAAGACATTATCCAATGTGCATTTCTGTGTTAGAAAAGAGCTGCCCCATATAGCTGAGAGGTAGGAAAGAAAAAAATACTGACACAGAGTGGGGGTGAAAGGGATGCTAATGATGTGCAGAATGATCAGGGTGGACAGTGTTCATCCCACCATTTTAATTTGTGACAGTTGGCTTGGGGCATGGAAATCACAACACTGAACTCCACTCTATCACCTTGACATTGGAGTTTTCCACCCAGTTAAGAGTGTTGTGTGTCCTGGAGGCAACTGTTTTAATAAGTAAGGCAAAGTCTGTAGGGAGAGGTGATATCTTTTATTAGACCAACTGATACAGCTGGGAAAAAAAACAGACAGGCCTTCAGGCACACAAGTCCTTCTTCAGGAAAAGATATTACTTGTCCCTACAAATCCTGCACTGTTCATATCTTCAGACCATCAGGACTATAATACTACCGCTTAAAGGTTTTTATAAGGTTAGTGAAAACTGGTAAAAGCAGGAAGCACAAAAATTACACTTACTCAGGGGAAAAAAAGAAGCCTCTAGTTAGCCTTTGGAATGTTCACAGGGGCTCGATCTGTTGTTGTCCCTGAAAGTTCTTTGATAGCCAGAAGCAGAGCAATGGCTGGTTGGAGGGCAGGGGAGAAACTGTCACTTCTGTTCTGCTGGAGTTGCATGCCAATAAAGATGCATGTGATCCAAGACCGTTTAATTAATTAATTAATTAATTATGCAGGTAGTCTGGATATTTTTGCTGAAACGGTTCCCTCTCTGTGGTGTTCTGAAACCACCTCCATGTGTGAGACCACGAGCCTAGGCACAAAGTCTAAATGTGTGAAGCCTTAGAAAGGCTTCCCAAGCTTTTCACTGTGCAGATCACATTTAATAGGGGGATTGTCTCATGGGCTGTTTTCCCTCCTATTGGCAACCAGTACGAACCTCTTCCTCCTCCCTCCTGGCATCAGAATAACATTCCTGTGATACTTCAGCAACTGCTTTAATGGAAAAGCAGTATTATATGAGTAGTGTATTTTGGTTATCTTTCAATACAGAATGGCTGCAAGACCCAGAAAAAAGCTAGATGCAACTTCACAGCTTTCCAGAGCTGACCAGTAAACATACCATCAGCTTCAATTTAGAAGCTGCAGAAAGATACGGTATGCAGAGAAAATAGCAACCATGCATTTTGCCTAGGGGAGATATAGAAAAATGAAACAAATAATCAAAAATACAATTACGGGAGAGTTCTCATAGCTCTGAAATGGGTGATGTGGAGTGACTTTGTCAGATGGTTAAAGGAAGAAAAATATTAAAGAAAAAAAATCTGTGTCCGTATGTGGCAATGGCTTTGCTGTGGCAGTTGCTACTAGTAGGCAATTCTTTGAGATATCCCCTGTGGATAGTCACAGTACGGGAGAAAAACAAAGGGGTGTGGGGGCAGGTCCTCTCATGGTCCTTTACACGGGACAGCAGGACAGGAAGGAAAACAAATTGCAGAGGACAGTGATCTAATAAAACCAGAAAGAAAGTAATCACCATAGCTACGCAGTCATTCATTTTCTAAGACTGGAATAGGAGATGTTCAGCTCTTTTCTCCCTCCATTTCCTTTGTTACACAAATGCTATCAAAGCCTGCAACAAGTGACAGGCTTGATATTTATGCATATAAATGACTACAGCTCTGAAAGAAGCCTGGGCACAACAATGTGAAGCAGAGCCATCATTCCTGTCGGCTTCTTGCTCTGCACTGTAAAAAGAAAAAATCCCTGAGCATGGCTTTTCTGCCCTCCTGTTGCTCAGCATGGTGCATAGACACTGAATGGTTGGAGCATTTTTCAAAAGTGGAGCCCTGTGGGAGCCAGCCCCAGCATTAGTATTCCGCAGCCATCGCTGCCTGTGCCCATCAGCACCACATGCTTGCAGAGCCAGCCTCAGAAGACCACCAAAGCACGGCACAAAGCCACTGTTAGGGTTATACCTACAGCAGAGCAAATCACCTTTTTGAGCTAGAAGTAACTATGCTGAAGGGGGAAAAGTGTAACAAATCAGTACAGAAAGATCTTCAGTATCTGTTTTATGCTAGTAAAGAAGCTTTTTACTGCAACACTTTTACACCTTTCATTATGTGGCTTCTGTGATTATAAAATGGCAGCCTTTTCTGTTTTGGTAAGAAAAAGAGAAACAAGAAAAGCAGAAATACGAGGCAAAGAGCTAAGAGAAACTTTCCCTGAACTGATAATAAATTGCAAATTATTTCTCTGTTACTTACAAGTCTTTTTGCTTCAACTGATGGGACTGGCTTGGCCACAGGTGTTTGGGAATCAGGGATAGTGAGCAGAGAGAAGAAAATGCACAGATGGCCCCTTTAAATTATGAGAATGTCTTTGGATAAGGTAGGAAAGGTAAAATAACATTTTGGCAGAATTTCCTAGCTACTCTGCATGAGGGGGGACATGCAGGTGTACTTGGGAGGAAGGTGGGTGTCAGCAAATGAATATCTCACCTAGCTAGTGACTCAGCTCTTAAGCATAAGATCAACTGCTATTTTACTTGCCAGTGGGTACCGAAGCCACCCAGAAGAGGTGTTGTGGCAGGTTAGACTCAGAACCTACAGGAGAGCTGTGCCCTTCTGAAATGCCAGGGAGGCACCCTAAGAGATACCAGAATGGACCAAACACCTATGTTCAGGCACCTGATTCACCCTGTAATAACCAATTTCTTGCTGAAATCCCTTCACTTTCACCATCTTCAGCACCAAGAAGCAAACAACAGTGCCAGAAAACCAAGACAAATAAAAATCTCAAGAAATGTATGGTTTGTTACTAGTCTATGCTAACCCTGTCTGAACCAAGGTAGTCAGATCTGGCATTGTAAACTTTTATGCCAGTTATTGTGCTAATGAACCTATATTATTTGTGGGGTGGCTATTTTCTGCCTAGTGTTGCTTTATAGAGCATCCTTGAAATAACAGGGCAAATGTTAACTGATTGCAGCTTTTAGTTAGAAGGATTTTTTTAGCTGATTTGCTGAGTTAATAGGCCAATGTTCTTACCTACACCAGACAACTGTAATCCCGAGGTTAGAAGTGATATAACCATATTTAGGAAACACAGTTTATTACCTGAAGCTTTGGCTCTGAGAAAAGACAGCTTGTAGACCCAACCATTAAGAATGATTAACCTGCTGCTGTGCTACCTGCAAGTTCAGGTCTCTGCCATCACTTTACGTACAAAATGAGTACTCTAGATCTATGTTCAAGCAGTAGTCATCCCTTAATGGTTTCATGAGGTCAGTTTCAGTCATTTATGTACAAGATCAGTATGTCACTGTTGAATATGTCCTTGGAGTTGCCAGAAGTCAATCTGGGGGTGCAGATGTCTGCTAGCTGCAAG